CACACACACACACACACACACACACACACACACACACACACACACACTTCGGGGGGAAAAATAAACCAGAAAAAAAGTGTAAATGCTGACTCAGCATTAATGCAATGATAGAACAACAAATTTAAAAGGAGTAAAAAGAAGATCAAGAAAAGTAAACCAATGAAGTGGCATATTTAGCTAGATTTGTTCGAGTGAGTTTTCAGATTCATGTGCCGTGTTCAGAGCAATCCTCTAATTTCTGATACAGTATTTTAATACTTTCTATCTCTGGCCATTGGGTGTCAGTAGAGAAACCTTTGAAAGGACGAGCATGATAACAGCAGGTCTGAGATTCTGTTTTTCAGCCTTCAGTTTGCACTCCCCCACAATGCAACGCCTGACTCTGTCACCTCTCTCACTGAAGTTTTGATACAGGCGGAATTTGTCAACARTTATATCTGGAGACTGCAGCCAGGACTTCCTGCCGGAGCCTCACTCAGTGTGTGACACAGTCAAAGGAAATTACTGAGGCAAATATAAGGTGGGATTCAGTCTAAAAGTGGTGTAAATATTTCTTGCTATGAAAATACTATCTTCAAGCAGCATCAGTCACTGCTTGTGGCAAATATGTGTACTGAATTAAAATGTAAAAGATGTTAGGAAATCCCAGTGTAAACATTTTTTTTTTACCCAAGGCCAAAATCTGCAAAACAAAACTTTGAACTTGTAATGCATCAATGTAAATTTTGAGAATAAACGGAAATTTGTTTTTCGTGTTGGAAGATATTTTTAAAACTCATTTTGAAGAATATTAGAACCTCATGAGGGCCACCCAGAACCTCAGATATCACAAAGTCCATTGGGGAATGTTTTGAGACCACCCAGTCAGGACTTGCCACTGTGTTTGTCTTCCAAGGGTAAACTGCAGCTTGACGAATTTCTGACCTTTAAACCGACTCTTGTGTTGGAAAGTGATGACACCAGGTCAGAGACAAGGGCTCATTGTCACCCCCAACTGGGCAGACAACCATCTGCTGCTAAATCTGCTTGGAGATGGTGCAATCCTTCAAGGGTATTTCTGCGAGCTGCCACACTTCTCCCAACAACAGTCCTAACAGGGATGTATACTGCTGTTTACATCTCTAACTTAAAATATGTCATCCCTCTTCAGTCTTGCTTTTTTGGGGTACTTAAACAGTTCAAATCTGGGATTCTACGGAAAGGCAAAAAAACAAACATTATCTTACCTGTTGTAGATGAACCACCTTAGATCTCACAAAACCAAACACAGCCGTAAAAAAAATGTGAATCTTCAAATTAACCTTTGAACATAACATGGAGCAGTACTTTGCACAAAAAGTAAGGGGATTTGTGTCTGGTAGATTATTTCTTTATTGTATGCTTCTTGGCTATCTATCTATCTATCTATCTATCTATCTATCTATCTATCTATCTATCTATCTATCTATCTATCTATCTATCTATCTATCTATCTATCTA